TGATCTAGCAGTAGCCTGCAGTGCTGCATTTAACCACTGCGCCACCTTGCTATCGGACCTGGCTACCTGAGAGACTGCCTCCTGCCAGTTACCTCCCAGAGACCTATAAGATCGCACAGACTAGGCCTCCTCTGGATTCCATCTGCCGGTTAATGTCGGCTGGCGATTCCCCGGGGGAGGGCCTTCTCTGTATCTGCTCTGGCCCTATGGAACGATCTCCCCGTTGAGATCTGGACCCTTACTACCCTTCCGGCCTTCCGCAAAGCGACTAAGACTTGGCTTTTCCGGCAGGCCTGGGGCTGTTGATTTATCCAGCCCCATCCTAAGTTATGAATGTTGTGAAATTTTTAATGTTTTTTTTATTTTTTGTATGTCCCCCCCTCCCTTTTTTACCTGTAAGCTGCCCTGAGTCTCTTTGAGTGTGGGCGGCATACAAACCAATTAAATAAATAAATAAATTACATTTATCTAAATAGAAATATTAGAAAGATAAGCTTCAGATCAAATTGTGAAGTCCTGTGTGCTTTTAAATGGTAAGAGAATGATTTCCTTAAAAATTACCCAGTACGGTATCTGTGAAAAGATTTTTTTACAGAATAAATGTTTTGATTACACATTGGAATATGTAAAGATTGTTTCAACTTGAATGCAGCCAATTTGTACATTCTAGTGATAATTGTCAAGAGGAAAATAATCAGGTAAAAGCATGTTGCTAAGCCTGAAGTTAAGATGATTATTTTGGATATTAAAATGACTGTATAAACGGCTGGCTGTCCGCTAGCGATAATTTTAAAGAACAAAGGTTATATATTAAAAATGCATACATGATTCTTTTTCACTTCCAATGTACAACAGTTCCATATGTTCTTTAAAAGAGGTAGCCCTCAACTTACAGCCATTCATTTAGTGACCATTCAAAGTTACAACAACACTGAAAAAAATGACTTATGACCATTTTTCACATTTACAAACATTGCAACAGCCCCATAGTCATGTGATTAGAATCCAGACACTTGGCAACTGGCATGTATTTATGATGATTGTGGTGTCCTGGGGTCATGTGATCACCTTTTGCAACCTCTGACAAGCAAAATCAATGGACAAGAGTCACTTAACAACCAAGTTAACAGCTGCAGGGATTCACTTATCAACTGCGGCAAGAAAGATCATAAAATTGGGCAAATCTCATTTAACAACAGTTTTGCTTAGCAATAGAAATTTTTGGCTCAATTGTAGCCATAAGCCTAGGACTGCCTGTATGCATTTATCTTAAATGGCTTGCAAGTTAATATAATTCAAATGACTGGAATCCTTAAAGCATTTAAAGAGCCATGGTGGCGCAGTGGTTAGAATGCAGTACTGCAGGCTACTTCTGCTGACTGCTGGCTGACTGCACTATGGGAGTTCGAATCTCACCAGACTCAAGGTTTACCAGCCTTCCAAGATATGCAGACCCAGATTATTGGGGGCAAAATGCTGACTCTGTAAACCGCTTAGAGAGGGCTGTAAAGCTAAGTCAAAGTGCAATTGCTATTTTCACAAAAGTTAGATTTCAGAGGAATGTTGGGTGACATATTTTGCATAATAATTATGCTATATTTTAAAAATGGAAGCAGTTAAATAATATTTATTTTTCAGGTGACAATCTTAGCCCTGCCAAAGAATACACACACTCAGGTAGCATGGATTCCCTGTCTTCTCAGTCTCCCACAACTGCTGCTCCTACCAGCCCTCAAGACACAGAGAAAAATAATCTCATAACTGACAGTGGTAATTCGTAAGTACTTATTTTTTTGTTTGAAAGCCTATCTGCTGTACCAAAAACTTGTAAAGTACAGATTTCTTGTTTTCTTAAAAGTATTTATAAGTACCAGAAATGTGGAAAGCAATTTTATTAGTTCCTTTTTAGGTTCAAAACAACAGAGTTTAACTTATTTCTTTAGATTTAATTATTAAAAATGATATTGCAAATTCTTGATTGCTTAGAGTCCCTTCAAAATTTCTTTTAAAACATTTAATTTTGTTTTAAAAAGGGACTTGTTACTTACATGCATTTTCAACATGTAGATAGTCAACAGTAGCTGAAATTATATTGGGTTCTTTTAGAAGTTTGTAGTGTATCGTCTTACATAGAGGGGAACCCCTTAAAGTTACATGTTTACTTCATGATTTCTCATCTCTTTGGCAGAGGAAGGTAAAAGTTCTGTGTATCTATTCAGTCCAGTCCACCTGTCCCTCAGCAATATATTTAATACCGTGTTTTATTCCTAATTATCACAGCAGGAGATAGCAGTTAGATGGTCTTGCTGGTTTTGGAAAAGCTAAGCAGGATTATGCCTGTTGAATTCATGTAGAAGAGACCACCAGAAAATCCAGAGTTATGGGCTGTACTGTACAGTTCTCCTCTCCTACTCCCCCCCCCCAAAGGTTAAGGTAATCACTTCCATATTGTTTCCAAGAAAGCTTTATGGACATATTCATGTAATCCCCAGGATTTATGTTCCTTTCAATATTTCAACCTGAGTCCTAATTAATCCATAGGTTTTCACAGGAATTTTTGTCCCATTAACGTTTTGATTACTAATAATTTGCATTTAGAAAATTTTGTCAGGATGTTCCTATTTTTGAAATTACAGAGAAGCACAATGTATTTTTGTGATTAACATGAAGCTTTTAAGGAGGAATAAAGCATTTCCTGCAGAACAATGCTTTTTTCTTCCTGCACCCAGTAATATGCAATCTAAAAATTCACCTCTGTGTGCAATCATTTGAAAAAGAAAAAAGTGGAATCACAGTGACAGCCACAGTGGAAGATTGAAGACTTTGCAGTTGCATAGACTTTTTTTGTAGTGCAGCCCAGGGTAAGATTCTATTCTGGGTTAAGATTTACATGAAAAGTGCAATTCACTTTTAAAAGGAGTGAACCTTTTACTGCCATTCAGAACACCCAGAAGAAAACCTGCCTAAGCTCGTTGCTTATTAAATTTTTACATTACAATTATGATAAAGATCTCATCTGATTATGCTTTTAGGCCTTCTAAAAGCATTCTCCTCCTTCCACCATCTCTATAGTCAGTGTAATTCATACTTGGCAAATTTCCTATATAACTTTTTGCCTCATATCATATACAGATTTTGGTTTGACAAGTGTTCATGTCATTCAAAATAAGACAAATGAAATCCCATGTATTTAATACACCAAATTAATGACACAATATCAAATAACGTTAGAAGAAAAAATATTTAAAAAATTAATGATCTGTACAGTGTGGCTTAATTCAAGTTTCATACATTTGAATGGAATGTACTACAAAGCATGCAGACGTGCTATAAATGAGCTAGCATACAGTACATAATATTCTTTAAGGTGTCATTGCCACAGAGCTGAAAATCTATGTAACTCAACTCAGTACTGACGAAAGTCAAGGAATATATTAAGTTTTTTAAAGAAAATTATCAATGTGGCTAACAATGTTTTTATATAAAACTAGGATATAAATTGCAAGCACAGTTTGAAAAACAATAGCTGTAAAATTTGTAGAAGTCTACATTTGATAGAAGAGATTCATGTTTACAAAATCTTTTACATGCCCTATCTTGGGAGAACAGAATTGGTCTATCTCCAACATGGTGAAGAAATGATGGTATTGTCCAGAAGGAGAACATTCAACAGGGCCTTTTCTGGACAATTTAACATGAGTCAGGCTACTAACAGGAGAGGGAGTTCTTTAATTCGGCATGTCCTAAGTCTTGTAGCACTCTAAAAAGATCAATACCAGCTCCTCAAATTATAGTACCTAGTACAGATCTTAGATCAGTTTTCCTAGGATTGTTGGATCACATCCCTTTTTTCACATTTTACACCAATTATCTTTCATATACTTTTCAAGCATAATCCCTTGTGGGGTCTATAACAGTAATCAAAAAAGGATGTTAGCATGACTAAGCATTACCAATGTTGAGCTATCAGCTCAAAAAGAATTTTGTAAGGGTGCCCAGCTGACACCTTGAGTCCAATGACAACTGAAATCAAGTCAAATTCCCAGATTGTGAACCTGCTGTTTCCAGATGTACAACCCTTTTAAAATCAGGCTGAACCTTAGTCCCTCTATTCTAGTTCTTCTTTACCATCAGCACTTCTGTCTTAGCAGAAGGTGAAAAAGCATTTTTTAAAGAAATTATAATTACATTATCATTACAACTCTGTTTTCCTTTTTCATTTTTATTAATGCTAGTTAATAATTATTGTGCTGAAGCTAGTTTTTTGGTACCACTTTTTTGGGAAGGTAACAGTGCTCTGCGAAGTCATGATGGCCACATAACCATGGAAACATCTTCTGACAGCACTGATACAGTGTCCTTGAATAATTTTTTAAAAATAAAAGTTATAAAACAGATGTACAGTTGTTAAAAGTATGTTCTCCAAAACCCCATTCTTGCCCTTTGAAGTATACCTAAAGCATTTTCCTACCTTTTTTCTTTCATTACTGAAGAACTGTTTTTTAAAAATACGAATTTATATACAATACATCTTACATTTTATATCATATCTATTTATATGACTATATAGAGCAGTTTTTTAATCTCTCTCTCCCTCTCTCTCTCTCTCTCTCTCACACACACACACACACAAAGGCAAGTACACTCATCAAGAAATCTCCAGAACCCCAAAGCCTACAAACTTGAAATTTGGCATGGATGTTCCTCTTGGCTTCTAGGTGCTTGCTAAGAAAGGATTTTTTGAAATGACCATCAGATCATTAGTATTTCTTATACAGTAATTAACACCCTCTGATGCTAAGGAGTTAGACATTGTACTCCCTCTCCCCACCGGAAAAGAACTCTCTTCCAACTGCCAGTTGTCTCACATTCCATTACCTCAGTTCAAACTGGCAGACATTCTACTCCTTCACTCAGGAGCAGTCTGGGGCTCCTTACAGCACTAAACGTTCGTATCTCACCAAAATGTCTACGGCTTCCACCTATGGAACTGCTTCTAACTCAAGGTGGCGGGAGCGATATTCCCTTATGAGTTTCTATCCCTCACCACCACTGAGCCAATGGATTGAACTGGGGTGAACTGGATTTCTGCTGCATTGCCTGATCACATAGTCTTGTCGCTAAGCACTAGTATCCAGCTAGTTCTCGATATATGCCCTTTCCATGATTAAGTTGAAATTTAAGATATGAAGATTGGAAAAATAAGTAATCAGTAGTTTGCTATTATAAATAAATGTATAACTAAATAAAATAAATAATTGTATCTTTATTTTTTAACAGAATTAAAATGTTTAACTTTTTCAAACTTCTCAAGAAGGATACCCAATAATATACATCAACTTTATATTAAGTTTAGATATTTTTTATTATTTCTTGGTCTTATAAAGTTTTATTGTGTTTTATGGATAAGAAAGTCCTTATTGAATTGGTTTCAGCTTTAGCTGTATACTATATTCGTACTAGTTAGTGTCTGTTTATCGATCTTTCTGTCTGTACTCGATCCATCCATCTCTATGCTTAAATAGATTAAGAAATAGGTATGAAATATTGTCATGTTAGTATATCTGGAATTTATCAACAATATGCTACTGCAAAGATCATACTGTAGATACATGCGTATTTTGATTTTTGTCTGTCTTAATTTTTTTCTTTAATCAAAATAAATAGCCACTGACATTAAAATATAAAATCCAATTATTACCCAAGTAATATTGGTTAAAGAAAAGTCATTATCTTATTTATGTATTCATTATTTTATTTGACAGCATATGTTCCCACACAATGCAAAATACTTCACATGCAAGAAACATTTACATCTTTGTTTCTTTATTCAGGTTTAATAGAATTGTGGAATTGTGTGCCTCCTGTAAACAAAGAGAGGTTATGCTGTTCTGTGGAACAAAATACACTTGCCCAAAAGTTGGTGTAAAATCTTTCCTTGGCCTTTGTCTTCCACATTCCTTGCTCACTGATTCTTGAGATAAAGGAATTCTATTTAGCAAAGTTACCTTGGCAACAAGTCAGATAATATCCAATAAACTTTCTTTTCCAGTATTTAGTTGTTGAATATCAGTTAAGAGTCTAATTTAATTTTGTCAAGTTTCCAAGTTGTCCTTTTGAAAATGGAATTATACCTTATAATTTCTCCTTGTCAAAGAAAAATGACCAGCAAATAATCTTTTCTTCTTTAATAGTTTTTCACATTCATCCTTAATTACTATTTTTTTCATATAAGCTACCATATTGCTGTTTAATACTTTACTTTATTATAATATTTATCTTCATGAATTACCAATTCATAAGCCAAGTACAGAAACAATTTACTTTTTTTAATTGCTGAATCTCAATCTTCTATTTTAAAAGGGAAGTGGGGGTATTTTTTCTAATAAATATTTGACAGCAGACAGACTCTTTTCATACAGAATGATTTCACAATACTTCCCCCCCCCCCCAAAAAAAATAAGGGTATTCTTTGGCTTATTGTTAATTATGAACATTACATAAGAAGTAAAATAAAAATAGAATAGGAAGTAAAATAAAAATAGAATAGAATAAAAATAATTAAATACAATAAAAAGCTTGAGGGTACACTTGCCATTTTGACTTTTCCCTGAACTTCTCATATATATCTGGAAACATACTTTTCTCACTAGTCTAACAAGGTTAAATATTTCATAAAGCCAAGCTAAAAGATGTTTGATACCGTGTTCCCCCGAAAATACGACCTGTCCTGAAACTAACCCCTTGCCACATTTTTCTCGTGGAGAAAAATATAAGTCCACCCCTGAAAATAAGCCCCCTGGACAACCCACCCCTCCAGCCAGGCAGAGCACTGCTCACCGACCTAGCCGTATCTGAAGGCGTCAAGCTGCGGGAGCTGGGGGGAAGGCGCTCACATTGCTTGGCGCTTTCAGGACACCGCTAGGTTGGGGAGTGGCGTTCTGCCTGGCCAGACAGAGAGTCTTCCACCATCCAGCCTACAACCATAGAGCACACTCCTAGAGTGGCTGCTGCTGGAAGATTCAGCAGCCGAGTTTTGGAGTTTGGAAGCTGGAGAAGAAGTTATGCTCTGAGTGCGGCAGGGACAGAACAGGTGCTTGCGCAATCCCCCTTTCCAGCCGGGCAGAGCTCCATGCACTGACCTAAGGGGTATCCCAAATGTTTAAAGCCACGGGAACTGGGGAATGGGCAGAGCGCCACGTGCCTTGGCGCCTTAGGGATACTCCTAGGTCAGTGAGTGGTGCTCTGCCTGGCTGGAGAGGGGGTCACCTCATGGCTGCTTCGCCCCTGAGGCTGTGCCCGGTTCTTCCGGAGCCAGTTCGCAAGGGAGCAACTGCCCGGCAACCCCAAAACAATAAGCCCTCCCACTATAATAATCCCAAGGCCATATTTCGTGGGGCAAAAGAAAATAAGACCCTGTCTTATTTTCGGGGAAAACACAGTAGATGTTTAAGAACCCATATCATAATGACTGAAGTTAATAATATCATTGATTTTACAGATTTTAGAACTAACTAGAGGTTGCATTAAAATCATTAATTATTCACATGAAATTATTTCAGATCCAGTGAAGTTCATTCATCAATGGTTTCCTGGATAAATCTAAAGTCAACTACAGCACAAAGTCCAGTCACAACAAACCTATCATTTTTATTTCCGTCCTCTGCTACAGAGACTGACAGACCAGTTGGAAGGTAATACTGGCATATTTTTCCCCACTATACTTTATCTCTTATTACATAACAGAAACAGGATTGCTCTTTTCTGTTCTAACAATTAGCATGGACATAATTGTTCTTTGATAGTTAAACTGTTTATAGTCATAATATGTTCCCATTCATAATTCAAAGCAGAATAGGCATAGACTTTAAGGACAAGATTCAACTCTGGTCACATTGAATGATTTTTTTTTTCTCTCTCAGGGTCAATAATATATTAAATACTATAATTTGCTTGTAATTTCCCAGCCAGTCCACTGAAAATCCCTCTGATCAGTCATGTCTTAGTAAAATATATATATATATGGAAGTCATGCCCCGTAGTATGCAGGACTGAGAAAGGAGGGTGAGAATACTGAATTGTATACCAGTCTCATTTCAGAATGGGAATGGGAAAATAATGGAATATTTTCCCCCAAAAATTCTTCCTTATAGATAAAATAAGGAGGCGTCACATAACTTTATTTTGTTACAACAGAAAAATAATGAGATCAAATAAATTTTACCAAATGTTGCTAAGAATTTGAAAATGTTGCATTTTAAATTCCATAGTTGGAGGTAATTGCTGAAATGAAAAATGGTATAAAAATTGAATAGTATAATATAACATGAGGCAACATCTTCTTTAGCCCTTCATTAATTAACTTTAGTTTTCACTTAATGATGGTAAGTAGAACTGGAATTTCCAGTATTAAATGATATGGTTGTAAACTCAGGTGTCACGTGACCCTGCTGCTCAGTGACAGCAGTTATGGCAATCCTCAATTACCATTATTAAGCAAGGACTGCATTAATTGATTGCAATTTCTGACTTCCAGCCAGCTGTCCCATTGACTTGGTGGGAAACTGGCAGGGAATGTTGCAAATCATGGTTGCATGACCACAAGGTATTGCAATATTGTAATCAAGAGGTGGGTGCCGATTACCCAGATTGTTATCACATGATCATATGAGCCAGAACCTCAAGAACCAGTCATAATTACTCTTGCCAGTTGGAACACTGGTTGTTAAGTGAGCACTGCCTGTAGAGTGACTTCATATATTTAATGAGAAAAATCTGTATATGTTTAAACGTTCCTTTTGCAAATACTAGGATGTGTTTTTTCATATTCATATAAATATGACAGTTATAATTTTAAGAGAAAATGATTATAATGGTTTTCAGTTTCTTCATTCTTAACAGCCAAAATGCTATTTTTATTTAATGTGTCAAGTGCTACAGTGAGTATATCCTAATCAGTCTTTAATACAAATTTGATTTTTAGCTACAGTTAGTATCAAAAAACTATGCAACTACAACTATGCCAACTAAAATGTAGAAATAATTTTATTGACTTTCAGTAAACAGGCTCCTGCATACTTCGTCATTTGCTTTAGGGAAAGCTAATTATGGGCAAATCCATAAAAGAAAATGGATGAATAATGCTGAAAGATGTGCATAGCATGAGTGAAGCCCATGCTTCACTCAAAACATTAATTCTCTCCTGAATAAAAAATTTAACACTACCATCAATTGAGACAGCAGCAATTCCATGTTTCAAATGACACTTGAAACAAATAGGATTATTGATTAGCCGACAGAAAATGCACTGACAATTTCAGCAGACCAAGAAATGCATTCATAGGTAGATGAAGTCTTTGAACCATAGGTTTCTTCTTGCGCTGGTCTTGCATCTTCTGTATTAACTGCTGATTATTGTTTTTGTAGATAAATACACACACATACACACTGATGATGGCTGTTTTCTTGTATGACTAGAATCATTATTTCCTTTTATTGTCATGTAAAACTGAGGGCTTGTAAATAATTGTGCAACTTTTCTCCCCCAACATTGTCAATAGAAAAGCCAGGGCAGTATATCCATGTGAAGCAGAGCATAGTTCTGAGCTGTCTTTTCAAACCGGTGCAGTTTTTGAAGATGGTAAGTAGTTATCACTTTTATAATCCTACAAATAAACCCATCTTTTAGAAAGTGGACATGCAATATCACATGGTCTCCCTAAATGGTGATTGGCGCAATACATGCAGCATCCATTGTAAGCATATGTGTTCCTGAGCCAATGTCTGGTGAAGCTTAAAAAAAAATCGCATTAAGACAATCTGTGCACAGCTTGGATTTAATCTTTTTTGAACATTTAAGGGAACATAAGGATTTTTTTCATGCAACTGGCCGGTGGATCAAAGTAGAACTTGAGAGATAAAAAGAATTTAATTGGAGATCCATATTAGCCATGGTTTTACCTCTTACTTTGTTGCTACATTGTAAAAATACTTTGTAAGGATGCAGTTTTTCTATTTGCATTTCCTTTTAACCTACAGCAGTTTTTCGTAATCTAGCCCTCTTAATCTGTAGATTTCTAATTATTAGCCACACTAAAATGGAAATCCGGAGAGCTTCTGAAGCAAAATATCTGTAAGATACTAATTTGGGAAAGATTTAGTGAAACTTTGTAAAAATGAACTACATTTTTGAACATACAATAGTACTTTGATAAAATCAATATTCATTCAATAAATAGGGCTTCATCTTACACATTTAATAATATTTAAGAACTAGGTTTGGGAAAGTGTGGACTCGCTTCTCACACTACATAAACTATAATGAGAAATCCACGGTACAAATTCAGTCATGTTGAATGAACCAGATTAAAGAACATCTCTGTTGATCCTTTTATGGTGATAAGGTCAAGAAACAGAATTCCTGGATTTCAGGAATGCACATTATAGTTATAAAATAGAATAATAGAAAGTAAAAAGCCATATTACTTTGAACTAAATCAAGGACTTTATTTGAAATCCTATAAATTTAGGAATTATTTTTCTTATTATTTTATTTAAATTATTTTATTATTTTAATTATTTTAAGAGTTTCTTTCTCATGCTTTCCATGTTCTCAGAGCTGAATTGTTATATTTTTCCCTTAATGGTTCATTACTCCCTTCCCAGATTCCAAGGCCAGTTCTACAGTTGTTCATTGGAAGTCTTGTAGTTCTAATATTTTTTTATCAACTCCAAGTTACCTCTTGTTGTGATATGTACATGCTCACTTAGGATTTCTTTTATACAACATTGAGTTGTACCTCTCAAATCCCACTCTTTCATAGAATGAAAGAAATACCTTGAATTTGAGTAAAGAAAAAAAATGGAACCAAAACAGAATACGCTTTTCAACGACGTTTCAAAATAATTGTTTTCCTATGTTAAACTTATTCAGAACAAGAAAGCAGGTATTTACTATAAAGTGGCTTTCAGGTACTATGAAAAGGAATAAATTGATTATTTCACAGTATTAAGAAAGGAGTAGATTATCCCAAAGATGCTTTTTCAAGTCAATTGGACTTTCTTTGTTTTTCCTTGAAGATGTTTTATTTTTCATCCAAGAAGCTTCTTCAGTTCTTGCTGAATGGTAGAGAATGGAAGAATTATTCCTTGCAGTTGGCCTGGTTGTTAGCATCTTTGAGTGCTAAAATAGATAATTGAGAATCTCCATAGACAAGAAGTGTGTTGATGATGGTAACATGGAAAATCTTTAGGTCAATCTAAAGTAATATATTTTTATAGCTTTATTAGAGCATAGGTATGAGCAAAGATGTGGTTTCTTTAAAAAAAATGCACCCCAGGCTTTCATAAATATAGGAAAGTCTGTTAGGGTGTATATATAAGAAGAATGTTTGTAGAGGGCTATAAATGCTTAAGAAAGCTCTATGTACTTATTTTTTGATTTAGTTTCACTATCAAGAATTTTGGAATCCAAGATATGGTTGGTTAGCTGGTTTAACTAATTTCATTTCAATAACATTTGCAGAACCATCTCCAGTTGTTTCTTGCCAAGTCCCACACGCTACAGAGGAGATATGATCCAGGTCCCCTTCTTGAAACAGTATAATCTGATGGGACCATATGGCATGCCTGCTCCATTATGATACCTGTCCTGTGGAACAGTGTTACACCCTGAGATTGACTAGTTTTGACCTTCCTAGTCTTTAGGGAGTCCTTGAAAACCTAGATGGTCCTTCAGGATGTGGATCAGGATGTTGATATCCTGTAAGGTGTGAAATAACTCGTGTCCCCCAATTGAATGCATTAGTCTTGTGACTTGTTAGTTGTTTTACAGGGTTTATTATATTTTGTTTATTTTTATACGTGTGTGTGTGTGTGTGTGTGTATGTGTGTGTGAGAGAGAGACAGAGGGAGAGGGGGAGAGAGAGAGAGAGAGAGAGAGAGAGAGAGAGTTTGGCAGCTGTATAAGTATTTTCAATCTATCAATCAATCAAAATAGCATTTTATCTAAGTTTAAAGTCAGTTTATGTTTCTAAATCCTGAGTTGACTTAGCATTTATCCCAGAAACAATAAGAATGTCCTGTGTGGGTAGTTCTACTTTTATTTTGTCATAGAAGATTTTATTTTTTGTGTTGCAAAAAGAAAACATTTCATAAGAGAAAACAAACATCCAGGATGACTTGATCTACTAACCACAAGCAGCAACTCTTCTTTTAATTCAAATATTCATCCATTGTCTTAAAGGTGGCATTTCCAACTTACATCATTCAGCTTGCAACTGAAGAAGGTGCTTCTGTAACATAGGGCAATCATATATTATGATGCTTCTTTTTTTTCAAAGAAGCTACATGCCTTCGTTATACTTGTCTTCTGCCAGAAAAGATGGCAATTGGCTCAAATACAAGAGAAAGCTAACACTTCTATATCTGTAGACTTAATTCCCTTTTTGGCAGTTGTTAACTGGTGGATAGCAGCAGAAACAGTAATGAATTACACATCAACTGTTTGCATGCCTCTCTTTTTTTAAAATGTAAAATCCTAAATGCAAGCTATAGCACATTGGTAATTTTATAATGAGAAAAAAGGCAGGGTGGTAGTGAGCATTAAGGGGAGAAAAATTCTTCCTGATAAAGAATATTTTGTGACTAACCATACTTGTCCAATATCTGTTACATTATATCAGTGCCCAAACTATCACCGGTATATCTCAGAATTGCTTTGTGCTCCAAGTGGGTGCCTACTCTGAGGTAATAGATTAGATAAGATTATAGCTTTAATGATTAGCCTATAGGCCATATCAAAGCACAAGGTTCAATAGATTTTCCCATTCCTGACTGACTTCATGAGTTGTTGCTTGGAGAGTCAGCTGAGGTCCCATGACAGGATGGTTTTGGTTAAGGCAGTGGTTCCCAAACTTGGCAACTTTAAGACTTGTGGACTTCAACTCCCAGAATTCTCCAGCCAGCTCTGGGTAGTCTTAAAGTTGCCAAGTTTGGGAACCACTGGGCTAAAGAAATGATGGAAACATGAGGCTAATTTTGCTTTTGTCCTGGTGGTCTCAGATTCTGGTGATCTCAGATTGGCCAATTTAAAAAGTACCTACTATCATTTATCTCCCAGGAAATTGTTTTGAATCAGTCTCTCCCTGTATTTCCAAATATGGTCCCTGACTTCCTACTGGGCATTATTCTTTTATCTCAAAAATAGAAATAAGAAAAGTTTCTCATGAACTTAATCTTTTCATCATCCTAAGACTTGGCAAAGTATTTACATTTTTTTAAACAAGTTAAGGCGGATTAAAAAAACGTGGAAATGATTTATTTTTCTGCATGAACAGAGAAAAGGGAGCAGAGGAAAAAACCAAACATATTTAAAACAGAAATATGCGTCCACCCTGTGGTTGAAATAAGTGAAGTTCATTTAGTCATTTTGCCACACACTGTATTATTTTTGCTTATAGTAAATTAAAAAATACCCTTTTCTATTATTATTATTCCTTCTTCTGTTCTTCTGTTCTTAGTCTGTTTACCATTAAGAAAACATGGATGCTATAGTTGAGTCTTGTCAAAAATTACCCTATAGACAGATTGCCTCTGAATCAAAAGTAATAAAAGAGCAATTAAATATGTATTTAGTTGCTTCAAAGAGTTCTCTTAAAAGCAAGTTTAGTTAAAGGTGTGGTTTCTTGGCATGTGAGTTGAAACTCCTGTAGTCAAATCTATGTACAAAATTGTTGTTGAAACATGTGGTTCACAAAGGAAGAATTTAATAGAATGCTTTCAGGCATGTCAGACCTTGTGTCTCTTCCTCAAAAGAAGAAAGGGAAATGCATTTAAGGCCCTATTTAAATTCTCCCTTTGGAAAATGGGAGTTTGCATCCTTGCACTTGTTTCCACATCATTAAAATTACACCAAAAAGCCTTCAACCTTTGATTCAAGCTACTTCAGCAATGCCTTCAGGAAAAGATGGCTGTCACAAATGAGATTCAGAAGCAAAGAGACTTTCCAAATGTCATATGAAGTTTTTATGCAAGACCTTAATAGCCTAGGATAAACTATGTTATGTTTCCCTGTGTTACCAGAACTACATTGCTGAATAAAAAGAAAGCTTGTGCTTCATAGATTGCCAAGGGCCACTTTTTGAGCCTGTTGAAAGGTAGGATTTAGCACATGCTTGTGGCATCCGGCTTTCTTTTAGCATGGTGGTTTAATTTATCCCTTGTCCACGTGGCTTGGTTTTTATCTGGTAATTACTTAAGCCAGAAATAGATTGTATCATCACAGTCTTATCTTGCCAAACTTCTTGGAAAGCCAAAAGTAGGAAATAGGTTCTTTCCTGTGTTTAGAGACCATTTTGAAAATTTACCTTCTTATTTATTATTTATTAAATTTATATGCCACACATCTCATTGTTGCAGTGGTGATAGATAAAGTGATAAAAAGGTTAAAAAAGAAGTACAAAAAGTAAGCTTAAATAATGAACTAAAAACCCAGAGGACAGGTGATTGGGGGATGGACGGAGATCTTTTCTGTATCACGTCAGTCAGTCCCAGCATAGAGCACCTCTACCAGGATTCCAGGTCAGCAGACAAAGCTAGGTTTTAAGGCTGTTTAAGACTAGAAGTGTGGAGGCCAATTTC